GGTTTTTTTTCTTAAACTGTTACTTAAATAAACCTTTAATTACGGACAAACATTATTTAATTGCATAATAGATTAGTTTGTTTACCAAAAAAAAGAGCATCTGACTTGATTGGATAAAATTTGATTTACTTGAAATTATTTAAATTGACTTAAACTGATATGACCAATATTGTTATTAAAATATTTTATAGAAACAAATCATCCCTTAATTGAAGGGATTTAGTATTAAAAATACACATTATCCGATCCAAATTTGAACGCTAACATTAATAAAAATACAATTCATATGATTTGTTACAATAAACGTATTCGTGGCTATACACGTGAATTGTTTTTGGAAAATATTAATTTTCCCTTTAGATCGGATTCACCTCCATATAAATATTGAACATGCTAACCAATATAACCACTGCACTCATTGTAGCAGGTATAATTCCAAATTATTTCCAAAATTCAAAATATAAAAAACTCAAGCATTCGATGATGGGAATCCCCTTCGGTACCATCAATGGAATTGAAAGAAACAAAAGATGTCCGTTAAAACACAAAGTTGTTCGTATGTTTGAGCGCGAGTCTCCAAACAAACTCTTGCAGATCCTCTTTCGAGATAGGGAGGTATTTTTCTTTTCTTTTTTTTTTTTACTATTTCAACTACATACACTATCACTTTGTTTAATCATTATTTTTTTGTATTCGTCCCACATCGTCGGTTTGATACGCAATGTTTATATTCAAAAGGTAATAAAAAAACTAGAGGAAGGTTGTATCTATTGTATTCGTAATTATGAATTGAATAGTAACATTGGTAACTACAACACGACCACCCCAAAATTCAGATTGATCTTGCACGCACAAATATCATATTAGAAGCAAGCATCACATTATAATTACCCGGCCTTTGAATCTGCAAAAATCATCGAACATGTAAATAAAGATACATGGTTATCATCGTTTTCGCAATAATATGAACAAAGATGTTCATATTCTTTGTAATCTTTCTTTTTCCATGGATTAATAGCTTTATTTTAATATTATATTTGATGGTTGAGAAATTGAGTTGATTTTGAGTAAAAAAAAAATGTTATTTGTTTTTTTTTTTTAATATTTTGTTGTTGGTCCATGTATGCTATCCTATAAATTTTTTCACATTGTTTATTCATCCTTGATTTTGTAATTAAGTCAATTAATTACAAACATAAATTAATGTGAATAAAGAAAAATAATATGTAACTATTCGACTAAAATACACACTATAATCTTCTAAGTTATTTTGATTCGTTATTGCTATTCAAATTTTTTATGTTATATTGTTTCTAATTTTATTGGTACTCTTTTGTTTTTTAGAAACTTAAGTATTACTCTTTTGAAATGGATAATAAATATTATTTTTACCATAAAATATAAGAGTGTGCGTAATCAATTTTATCATTGATTTTAAAGAAAAAATACACAACACGTGCTTATCCATTTCAAAGAGAATTCAAAGTAAAACGGAGTTTGTCAATGACCAAACTCTTTAGAGCTTATCTATTTCAAAGAGAATAAATCTATTATGTAACCGTATTAATGTAATTTTAATTTATATGTTTAAGTTAATATCGATATTTTATTAAAGGAAGTTTTACTGGTAAAGGTAGATCCCCCTGTTCTGTTGGTACGTAGACGTATCGAAATGCAGGTGAAGTTTATCCAGCTCCACCTGTTAATCCAGAAATACACGGAGCTCAGGACTTCCCGATAGCATTGTCTAAAATTATATTGTTTCTAATTTTATTGGGACTCTTTTGTTTTTTACAAACTTAAATATTACTCTATTGAAATTGTAAATAAATATTATTTTTACCATGAAAATATAAGAATGTGCGTAATCAATTTTGTCATTAATTTTAAGGAAAAAAATACACAACACGTGCTTATCCATTTCAAAGAGAATTCAAAGTAAAACGGAGTTTGTTAATGACCAAACTCTTTAGAGTTTATCCATTTCAAAGAGAACGGTTTTATTAATATAGTCTCTCTATCGTTTTGGAAAAAAAAAAGAACCATGTTATATGCATAGATCTAACTCAAGCAGTAATGTGGTCCCACTGTACACAATGAAACAAAAAAAAAAAAAAAATCATTTAATCTAATTAGCAATTGGAAAAGTTAAATAACAAAGTATAATTATATATAAAAACAGTAAAATTGAGATAATCTTTTCATCATGAAGCACAATTTCAAGATAGTTTCGTTATGCAGAATTGAACTTCCGCACGTACATTCTGATAATTCGAACAATTAACATAGGCCTTGTGGTCCTAGTTACAGTGCTAATGGGTCCAAATGGTTGGTCCATTGTTTTGTTTTGAAAATGCGAACTGTTGATTTTGTCTGTGAAGATGAGAATGAACATTACATTCGTATTTATAAGAATATGCAAATTATGAAATCGAAAAAAAAAGAGTCCCATCAAAGGAAACAATATAAATATCAGTATAAAAATCAGAGTTAATTCTAAAGTATGTTTAATTTTGAATCCAAAATTGGAATTCTTTCCAAGTGGATGTCATGTCAAATTATAACTCTCATTATGTACTGATTAACATAATAAAATAAAAACGTGTTAAGATCTCTATGTTAGGTAATTAGAACAATATTATATTTGTTACCGTGTTTCAACTTTTACCGGTATAATATATTAAATAAATTATTTATTATGTATAAAAAATGAGTTTAATATCAAATGAAATTGTCTAATCACAAGTGTTAGTAAAACTGAATTGCATATAAATTAAAATTGCATTAATATGGTTACATGATAGTACAACCAAAGACTGAAAAAATTGGGAGACAGATCCAAAGATCACCTAAAGCCTGACCTAGCAACGCTTTAATAACAAAGCTCACAAACTAAACCAACTAACAACACCAACAAAAACTAAAAACTAAAACAAGACTCCCAACAGGAGAATACCTGAGTGTCGGCTCCCAACAGGATAACATGGCTCAAGAATAAGAAATATGTTGTAGGTAATGTCATTGGAATTAGAAATTATCAAGTGGACAATAATGTTGGTGACTACCGTCCGACTTTACATGAGTTCAAGCTTATATTTCATGGAAGCACCGAGTTCATAAAGATCAAAGGAGATTTTTCTATTCATAGATTTAGATTTAAGGATTTTACGACACTTCAAGATGTCCAAAATATCGATCATTTAAATCTATTTGGTAAGCAATTACATTTTATTTATTACTTTTTTTTATAGATTATATAATTATATAATTATGTAAATAGTTATGTATAAATTTCTATATACGCGAGTTTTTTTTTCCAAAACGATAGATAATATTATAAATCAAAAAACACGAATGTGCGAATACACAGCAACCAACGACTGAATACACAACAACCAACAGCTGGAAAAGTGAGAGGACAGGTCTGAAGACCGCTTAGAATCCCGGCTAGCAACGCTAGAATAAAAAAACTCGCAACTAAACTAACCAACAACACAAACAACTAAAACAACTACCCGAGTGTCAGATCCCAACAGAGTAATAGAATATACGTGAGTTAATAGAATATATATTTGTTACTTAATATTATTACATTTCTCTATAGACGTGTGTTAATTGAAATATATAAATTAATGAAAGATTATATATGCAGATGTAATTGGAGTTGTAATTGATGTTACAAGTGTTGAAAACAAGTGAAAAAAGGTGATACACAAATGGTGACATTCATTCTGATGGATTTGAAGTAAGTACTTGATATTTTTTTTTTTAATGAAAAATCGTATAATATACATTTAAATATATATACGACCACATTACGTACATCATAATTATGTGCTTTAATTCGAATTATATGTACATGTTTTTTTATATTTGCAGTGAGAACTTGATTAGCTACACTGTATGGGGAGAGTATGTAGACGAGCTTTTGGCTTTCGAGAGTCAATACGAACAAACTGGTCAGCCTTGAGTTCTAATAATGCAATTTGCACGTGCAATAGAGTACTCACGTGCGTACCAATCTCCAGTCTAATTATTTATTCTAATGTTTAGTGTTGTCTTTGGATAATTTGTTTGTTCAATTCGATTTAAATTATAGGTAGAGTCCAAGTAACAACCTCCATGAGTTGCACCTGAAGATAGAAACTTCAGTAATGTTGTTGCGCAATATTGTCCATTCTATGGGTCTGTGCAATGGTACTCGATTGGTTGTGACTAAGCTCTCTACTCATGTTCTCGAATGCAAGATATTGATTGAAGATCACGCTGGCGAGAAGGTCTTGATTCCTAGGATGAATATCGTTACATCCGATACTAGGATTCCATTTAAGTTCCAGCAGCGGCAGTTCCCACTCATAGTTTTGTATGCCATGACCATAAACAAGAGTCAGAGACAGTCTTTATCGCACGTCGGTCTTTTCCTGAAGAAATCTGTTTTTAGTCACGACCAATTATATATTGTTGTTTCACGTGTAACTAATAGAAGGAGGTTGAAAATATTAATTTGTGATAATGAGGAATTACAAATAATCAAACTCATAATGTTGTGTACAAAGAGTTTAATATATGATTGTGAAGTCACGAATATTTTATGATTCAATAATGTTCCTATGTATGTTAATAATTTTGTTTTACGATCATAATGCACGTGAAATTATATTATTTTTCAAAATTATACAGGGTTATGTACTAGTTTTAGTGATGACCGAATGCCACTTATGCTACTTAGGTGTAATTTTATTTATTCTATCTATTAAAAAAATGTCAGATACGCGCACACACAGAGGTCAACAAAGCTTGGCCATCTGGGTCTTGAAATAAAAAAAATAACCAAGAACTATTATATTCACTAAAACACACTTCTGACAATACTGTTAGATACTTCCCTACCATTTAGCATCACCATTGAAGTTCTACTGCTACATGCATTATCTCACTTGTTTCCGAATTCAAGGCCACTGGTAACTCGAAAACCGGGTTCATATTCAGATTCAGCAAAACTAACCATGATTATAGCATTTAACAGTCCCAACTAAAGCCAGAGATTGTTCAAGTGCCTCAAGAAGATGGTCTGGGTAGTCTTCAAGACAGCCGTAACCATGCTCGAATGGCAGAGATCTCAAAACCCTACCAACTATCTGGAGGATGAGAAATCGGGTTGCAAAGTATTAGTGATAGGACTAAAGTGAGCTTTGTAAGAGAAAAGAAAATAGCTTCTTGAGCAAACGCGCCTTTCGGGCATAGCCACCGAATGCTATCCCACTGATAGAAGCATGCGATGACTCAGATAAGCTCGAGTTTGATTTTTCTGCATTTTTAGAAATTAGTACATGTGGATGCATAATGGTGACAAGCGAATCACATAATAAGAAAATAGTATGTGCTGAAATAATATAGTACCCGATATATTGATGGTTTGAAATAGCATTGCCCTTTTTAACCCGTCTACTGTGTGAGCATTGGTACCACCGGCTAATTGAAGAAAACCTGTAACATGAACAGATGAACCCACATTGTAACATGAAAGAAAATATATATATTTTACAAGAACAATGAAATAGGGCATGAAATATCGTAAATTTGGACGAACACCTTTAGGTCTGTCTTTGATGGAGGCCATACGTAGAGCAAATTTAATTGCTTCCCTTGTCGCGCCTCGTCCAATATCTCCACTCATGGGGCGACCATCCAACTTCAGTTAGCACAGGGGAAAAATTTCATGAAGCTCATAATAATAAATAAAAATAAAACTTCTCGTGAAATGTTGACAGGATTTATAGAGCTTGCATACAGCCATACCTGCCATAGATTGAGGCAATGCAGGTTGCCTTTCATTGTTTCGTACATAGAACTCATTGCGGGTACAGTAAGCTCCCCTATATCAGGCAAGCTAACCTGCACATACACACACACATACACAAAAAGGAAAAAGAAAATAATAAGAAATAAAAGTTAACAAAAATAAACAGCAGTCAAACTATCCAATAGAAAGAACCCAATTGGAATATTGCATTTTGTGCATTACTTACTGCTACAAGCCTCAGCTTATGAAATGAATCCCCTAAACCACGCCAAAGTTCTTGAAAAGACTCAGCTTCCCTATGGATCATCACTACATTAACTAACTGTACGGATTAGTATGAAATTCAATATAACAGTTCAAATTTAGATACAGAAATATGATTGACTTATCCATACCAGTGGTACTCTATAGTGCCCCGGAAAACGATAGTGTAATTCTCTAATAAGTGCATATGCAGGTTTTAAGAAGTCTTTCTTCAAAGAGTAGAAACAGAAGAATAGTACATCAACACATGTAATTATATATTGCAAAGGGAAAATCACAAGAAGTTCTAGCAATTCTTTTCGTGCATGCCAAGTATGTAATACTAAGACACAAGCTAGGTTGTTTGTTAAATCAAAAGTCAATTACATTTACTATATCACCTTTTAGACCATCAAAATAGGTAATATTTATGAAATTACCTTAAGCTAGTGTGAATTTCTATTGCATCAACATCATCCCGATTAAGAAGTTCACCTGTAGCCGCAACATCTCGTACGTATGAAATTGCTTCTGCATTGATAAACAAAAAATATAGGGATGGTAAATAAATGGAGGAAATAATCTCAATCATATGTAACACCAAAAAAGCATGGACAAATTGGCATATGGGATTGAACTATTTAGTTGCCAAACAGAAGTGTCACTGACTTATTTTATCGTATGGGCAAACTGGTAAGCAGCGACCACAGCCATAGCATCGCTCAAGTAAGACACCACCCTGGTTCTGGACATAGTGTGTGGTTCATAGATAGAAAACAATAATTTTCAAGGGAGAGAGAGAGAGAGAGAGAGAGAGAGAGAGAGAGAGAGAGAGAGAGAGAGAGAGAGAGAGAGAGAGAGAGAGAGAGAGAGATGTAAATATGTAATACAACCTTGGATACACCCACTTTGCCTGAAAATGAGATTGCATCGGCAGGGCAAACATTCTCACATGGCCTTGAGCAATCCAATGGGCAATCATCGGGATCAAATTCTGACCAAAAGGTAACATATCGAGTTAATGATATCCACTAGTAAAAGCATTTTAGAAATAAAAAAGCTCAAACTATTATTCTTGACGAGCCTGAAGCTTTGATTTCTTATTTCCTCTGAATCGCTCATTCAATAGGTTACCGCTAAACACAACATATGAAGTAATCAACTCTACTTGTTGAGGCGAGAAAGTACCAGCTTTACGAAAATGAAGGTCTTCGTTATCATTGACACTGATCATAACCCAAGGCCTTCGAATGGGAATGATATCCATGGCTGCCTTAATCCCTTCATTTACAGCATTGACAACTGATGCATCGGCAGCACAGTCAATGCAGTCAACTATGAACAACAAACACCACATCGAAAAATAAGGAGAGCTTCCAAAATCACATGCAAATCACCTAATAAGTTCTGCCCACATGGAATCAAAGTAATTCTGAAACAATCTGCCCCATGAATCATATATAATTTACCTCCAGCTAGAGCGTAAACCAGAGAAAGATTCCTAACATCAACCACATCCTACATCAGACCAAAGATGAAGACGACCTTATCTTTGAGTTTAAATCAAATAATATGCATAAAAGGGTCTGTTGGGGTTGGGGACGTACCTCAAAGCTAGCACCACAAATAAGCTTAACCCAGTTTCCTTTTCGGAGAGATTCCTGTGGAGAGGTTATGACCGATGGAATCCCATTTTTGTTGATTAGGTTGTGAACCTTGACAAGGCCTGAAAATCATATCCCAACAAAGAGAAAAAAAAAAAGAGAGAGAATAAAGAAAAGACTGGTTACTGCAAGAGCTTTTACACATACAGAGAGAGAAAGATAGAGAGAGACACACAAACTTGGAGTGTGAGTGGAGAGAGAAGCACTGCAGAAGAAACTCAGAGCCATGGCGACGGAACATGGGATTGGGATTTGGGATGACGAAGTAATAAGTGTTCATAAATCGGTAAGGTTAGATATTTGAGGCAAGGGTGTTTTCGACATTAAAAAAAATGGGTCCTTTATATTAAGGTTAATTGCATTTAAAATTCTAAGCAATTGCAAATAAAACTTAAATTTTCAAATTTGATAAAAAAATACCAAAGCTAGTATAAGTATTGCAAATGTGTCTCACTCGTCGGACAGCCAGCCAACCGCCACCTGCCGCCTGCCAACTTCGTCGGATGTTGAAAATTTTTAGATAATCTTGAAGTTCTCTCTGTGCCGACAACATATTCGAGTTGCACGAAAAAATTCTGACGATATGGCTTTCGGTATCTTCAAATTTTCTCCGACATTCTTTCATAAAAAAATTGTTTATCATACAATCGAGAATTTTGATTTAGACAAAACAATATAACATGTATCTTTACCTAATTGTAGAATATCAAGGTTATTAAAAAAATCGGATTACATAAAAATTGGGCAAAATTTCAAATTAAAATTTAAAAATCTTTTATCATTTGATTACTACTTTCTTTAATTCAGACTTTTTTTAAACATAAAATAAAGTCATATAATATTAATTTGAAATTCAAAATGAAATCGGATTGTAACATCTGTATTCCGCTAAATAATTTAATCGATTTATTTAATACTATCTACAATCTTAATATAATTTGTGGCGATAGACGATGTACCAAAAGACCAAACAATAATTTTGTGTACAATGATGTGTTTTTTTTTTGGTACAGGAACCTTCCGGTTTCCGGATCCACAGGGGAACCGACTAATCCGGAATCGAGCCGGGTAGGACCACAAGGACGGCAAAGCTCTCCCTCAATGATGTGTTTAATAATATATAACGTGACATTGTGTTTCATTTCAATATATATATTTTACGTTCTTCCAATCATCCAAATTTAACTACTTACCTTAATAAAACTAGCTCGTGCATCGCACGGGTACCGCACTAGTTCTCATTAAAACCCGATTCATGAGTCAAGACCACCACTAAAATCCACCAACCCCAAACTCTCAAGACTCAAACCCTAGTTTCTCTCTCTTCGCACGCCGGAGGAGGATGTCGCACTTCGGTAGATCTGGGCCGCCGGACATCAAAGACACCTTCTCTCTCCTCGTCCTCAACATTACTTTCCGTATGCACTTCGCTCTTTCTTATTTTGTTGTTTACTTTCTCGCGTTTTCTTCTATTTCGTAGGTGGGTTTTGTCATGAATATTTTTTTTTTTTTTTTTTTTTTCAGGGACGACTGCCGACGACTTGTTCCCACTGTTCGATAAGTACGGGAAAGTGGTGGATGTGTTCATCCCAAGAGACCGGAGGTATACGGGTTGCTTGTATTTGAATTTCCACTTTTCTTCAACTTTTTTCGCTAGTGCAGGCCCACTCATTGGTTGCCTGTGCTTGTACATAGCTAGTAGTTAAGGTCCTCTGCGTGATTCTTTTGATATAGGACTGGAGATTCGAGGGGATTTGCATTTGTCCGATATAAGTATCAAGATGAGGCTCAAAAAGCTGTTGAGAAGCTCGACGGTGAGAAGGAATGAAAATAGTGATTGCTTTTGGTTATTAGTCAAATTTCTTTGTGTATTGATGATTTTATTTTATATCTCATGCAGGGAGAGTGGTAGATGGTAGAGAAATAATGGTTCAGTTTGCTAAATATGGTCCCAATGCCGAGCGAATGTAAGTTGGTTTATTGTGCTTACTGATAGTTACCATGGGTACTTCTGGGGCAAAGGTTGAAATATATACAACTAATCTTCTCGTTAATTGGAATTTTGTTGTGGATTCATGTGGTTATTTGCTTCATGATTAAATGCATCATAATATTGCCATACTGATGTTATTGGATATGATGTGGTGATTATTATTCTTACTAGTTTGTTTCGGAAATCCTATGATGTTTGGAAATCCTGTTAATGGTCATGTGTGGTTTTCTGCAACCAGTCACAAAGGGAGAATTGAGGAGCCTGTTTACAGGTCCAAAGGAAGGTCACGAAGCCGCAGTCCTAGGCCAAGGTAGGACTGTACGAGTGAATGTTTAAATTTGTACTCTTTAGTTTAAAGAGGATTCCGTAAGTTTTTCCTATTATATTTGTGTTCTATGACTCTATCTGTGAGAACAAAACTGTTGCAATCTTCTTTACTCTGTAATGAACTCATTCTTCAGATGTTCATGTTGTTATTTGCAGTTGTACCTCTTTTAATGTATCTGCAGCCTCCTAAACAGAAGGCCTGGAACTTAGACTTTTTTTAATCTAATAATATATTCCATCCTAGGAAGTTGCATTGTTGTCAGTCGAGAAAAAGTTGAAACTTTACTCGGGGTTCTATTCTCCTGTTCTGTTGCTTGGAACTCAGTTTTAGCATATCTACTTTGTACTTGTCTTCTATGATTTTCGAACTATTTTGTGGAAACTGAAATGGAAGTTGTGTCTAGGAGTGATTATAGAGACAGAGATTACCGGAGGAGAAGCCGAAGTAGAAGTAGGGACAGATATGAGAGAGATCGTCATCGTGGCAGGGACAAGCATAGCCGCTACCGAAGCAGGAGCAGGTCCCGAAGCCTAAGCCGCAGCATAAGCCCTGATTACCGCCGAGAACGTGGAAGGGACAAATACAATGGTGATAGACGCAGAAGGAGTCGGTCTTATGAGAGGTACATCTTTATTAGTTTCATGACAGATGTTTATTTTATTACATTACTTTATCATCATCATCATCTTTTTCTATTTATATCTTGATGGCAGTGGTTCTCCTCCTCCGAGGCGAAGCCCTAGCCCACGGAGGAGTCCCTCTCCAGTCCGATCATCATCACTGCCATCTGGAGGTGGAAGCCCGGGTGCCCGTAACCTGAAAGAACGATCCATCACCCCTAGAAGTGTCTCCCCTCGTGCTCGTTATGATTCTCGAAGCCGATCTCCACGTTCTGAGGCTGATGTAATTATTTCATTCCCTGTCATATCCATTCACCTCAATTTTTGGGCTTGTTCCACAGTGACATTTGTTTTCCTTATCTACAGGATTAGGAGTGGAGTGTTGTGGAATGAATCTGAAGACATGATACCGAATATGACAGCATCTGCCTTTTGAGTACCTTGATCTACATATCATCTTCTGTATGGTTATTTCAAAGACTTATTTTCTTCTGGGACTATTTCAAAGTACTTTACCTTTCCTTTTGTCCTGTACCAGTTATCATTTCATGTTTTGTCTGTTTCTGCATCGTACTTTTAATGGATGGTTTTCCTTAGATTTGTGGATTGAGGTTTTCAGACTATTTCGTCATGGCTTCTGTTTTCATGTTGTTCCTTAAATTTGGATGCAAGTCATTTGTGTATCTCTCATAAGTTCTTGCCTTGCCTTCTATGGTTTGTGTGCTTTAGGAGTAGTTGCCGGTTGGTGAGACGATGCAGCAGCTATTTGATGCTGTTTTTTTAGATGACGAATGCAGTTAGCTGTTTGATGCTGCTTTTTAGTTGGTGAAGCATCTATGCTGTTTGGTGCTGTTTTTAGATGATGTAGCAGTTTTTTGATGCTGTATTTAGATGATGCGGTGGCTGCTGCTGCGGCTTGCTTTTATTATGCTGTTGGTTGTTCGAATTCCTTGATTTACAAACTCTCGGTGACTATACCATAACCGGTAAGGAATTAGTTAGAAAACCACATTGAATTTCAACAATTGAATGTTCACCGTTTTCTTACTCTGATCTCAAGAGATACTCGAAGTTAAATTTGGTGTTTGCTTGGGTGCCTTTAAAGTATGACCTTTGCAATCGACAATAGCTGATTTCAGTTATGCTGTGTTACAGCATATGAGATCGTGGCTGTTGCTGTGAGTTGACAGTCAATATCGTGTAAGATGAACTGTTTGCGGCACTTGCTTGCTGGCAGCTGTAGAAACTGATGCTGCTATTTTTATGGTGCACGGTTTGGTCGCTGTGTTGCTGTTGGATTTAAGGACACATCCAAAATTTGGTTCAAGGTGTGATGTAATTCTTTTTCTAATTAAATTATAAACGGGTTTAGTCGAATTACGTAAAAATCATTTTCTTTGTTTCTACTGAATGAATTTTGCTCTCAACAACTGGGATACTTCTTTGGGGAAAAAAAAAATGCAAACCATTTACAAATACTTGAGGCTTACTTTTAATTGCTAATTTGGGTTTTAGCTAGAGTTGAAACTCGAGGGTGATTTGTAGCTATCGTTTTAAGTTCCCTTTGAGAAACAGCACGAGTTGTAGCTTGTAATTTTGTTCTTGAGCCGACATAGCCTGGTCGCCCCGTCCTGCTTGTGGTGGAAAATAAAGTAATGTTATGAAAGATGTTGTGATTATAGCTGGTGTTGAGAAACAGAAACAAATAGTAATGAATATGAAACTTTTATTTCTGATTTTTGCCAAGGTTTGTATACTTGTACTTGATCCTAATTGTGGATTATTTTTCTGTAGAAAGGATTTAAATCTGTTTAGAATTACTACTTTCATTTGATTCATATCATATTTTTTTTTTTTTTTTTGTGTGATTGTGTGTGACACAATGGTAAAAAAATCTATGGGTAATCTAATGTATGTTATCTAAGCCAAGTATATGATTAACTCACAACTGTTGTAATTCAAATACAGAAGTTGCCACTGTTAAAGCTCTTTTAAATACTCGTTTAAATTTCATTGTTTTCAATTGAGGGGAAATACAAAATGTGATACTTGCCAACTTTAAGTTGGTAAAAGTAGTGTTGGATTTTACTTTTTTAATTATTGATGGTTTCTAAAGGATAATTCCTTCCTGAGGTATGCTTGTTTAAGAGGCCAGTTCTATAAATTTAAAAAAAAAAAAAACAAAATCAAATGAAGTATGCTTGTTTAAGAAATAATTGTAATCTTGTAATATAAATTAATTAAATTGGCATTTTTTATGCAATAAAAAAACCCTAAAGTAAGAACGTAGAAAACATTAAATTAATGTTCTTTTTATTTTTTGAACTTCAACAGTCATATTTTTATATTTAATAACTTATTCAATTTAAGGATTAAAATAATTATTTTCATTATTTTTTTCTTTTTTTTTTTCATATTTAATATGAATCACTTCAATCTTGCATTCATTTATTATTTAGTTTTAGTCCTATATCCATAACAATTTAACATTTTAATTGTAATTGATAAATTAATTTATATTCTCACAATTTATGCATGTATAATTTTATATTAAACACAAATATGATATCCTACTTGTATCTGTAAAGGGTATATTTTGTTTTAAATTTCTAAATACTTTTTAAGATGATATATTGTTTAAATACAAGGAGCTTTAAGCTAACTAAATAAGCTATATAACATAGCTTATTTGTTTACCAATCATAGCCTTAACTTAAAGGGGTGTATTCATTGAGATTCTTAAAGACTTGTTGGGGTTTTAATAATTACTAGTAGATATCCTGTGCACATGCACAGATGTACATAAAATATTAATAAGTAATATTAAAGAATTTAATATTAAAATTCTAGATAATGAACATATTACATTTCAAAAATTTGATCATTAGGAAAAATAAATTAACGATTTTATTATTATGAACAATTGTTTATTATTATTAGATACTAACAGTTATTATTATTATTATTATTATTATTATTATTATTAAAAACAATTTTTTATAAGCTTCTAAAGTTGTTTGACTATGCTATTAAAACAATTTACTAATTATTTTTAAAGAATTTTTTTCATGAGATACAAAAGAAAAAGATAATATTGATGTTAATATAAATAACTTGAAACAATTGTTTATAATTATGTAATTTATATTTATTGTGAATTATTATTATTATTAGTAATAACTATTATATAATATGATATAAACATACATGATTACACTCATTAAGATGTATTAATGTGAAAAGTAAATAATTAATGACAAATTTTGTAACCGAAAATGGAGGGAAAAATTTAGAGGTTTTATTAAATGTTTTATTAAATGTTACATGCCAGCAATTATATACTAGTTATCATCCTGTGCACATGCACAGATGTACATAAAATATTATAAGTAATATGTGTGAATTTAATATTAAAATTCTAAAAAATAAACATATCACATTTTCAAGATGTGTGAATCTAATATTAAAATTCTAGATAATGGACATACCACATTTTCAAGATTTAATCATTATTCATTAGTAAAAATAAAATAATATTTATATAAACTATTTGAGGACATATGAATCACGATATTGATTAAAAAAAAATTGTGGGTAATGTAATTTTTATAATTTGGAGGGATCATGGTCAAATAATTTACTTGAAAACTTTATTATTATTATTATTATTATTATTATTATTATTATTATTATTATTATTAATTATTACTATTATAATAATTATTATTATTACTATTATTATTACAACGACAATTGTTTATAAGATTTTAAAGGTTTTTTACTATACTGTTAAAACTATTTACTAATTGTTTCTAAAGAAAATTGTTTCATGACATATAAAATTAAAATAATAATAATAATATCATTCATAAAACCTCATTAAGTGTAATCATGTATTTATAAAACATAATTAATAAAACCTCATTTATTTTCCCTAAAAAAGAAGTTACAAAATTTGTCATTCATATTTTGCCTTCACATTAATACACCCTACTAAGTGTAATCATGTTATTTTTTGCTATTATATTATATAATAGTTAATGCTATTACCAACTCATAACATTTCAAACTATATATAAATTACATAAGTATAAACAATTTTATTGTTTCAAAATATTATTATTATTATTGTTATTATTATTATTATTATTATTATTATTATTATTATTATTATTATTATTATTATTATTATTATTATTATAGTAGTTAATGCTATTTTTTGCTATTATATTATATAATAGCTAATGCTATTAATTTTTTTACATGATTACACTTAATAGGGGTATTAATATGAAAGGCAAAATATAAATGACAAATTTTGTAACTTCTTTTGGAGGGAAAATAAATGAAGTTTTATTAATTAGATTTTATTTATGAGGTTTTATTTAATGATTAGTTAGCAATTATATATATATATATTATTAATAAACAATTGTTTATAAGATATTAAAGTTGTTTAACTATGCTATTAAAACAATATACTAATTGTTTTTAAAGAAATATTTTTATGAGCTACAGAAGAAAAATATAATATTGATGTTAAAATACATAATTTGAAACAATTGTTTATAGTTATGTAATTTATATTTATTGTGAATTATCATTAGTTAGTATTAGCAATAACTATTATATATTATAATAGAAACATACATGATTACACTTAATATGATGTATTAATGTGGGAAGTAAAAATTATTAATGTTAAATTTTGTAACCGAAAATGGAGGGAAAAAAGTTAGAGGTTTTATTAAATAGGTTTTATTAAATGCTATTGGCTAGTAATTATATATATAGATATAGATGGTGTATTTAACTTTGATTTTTTAAGATTTTTAAAAGTATCGAGACATTCATTTGCTATTAGAATAAATGTTACAAAATCTTGAGGTTTTTTCAAAATTTTTACAAAGTTTATATGAGGTACTTATGTGGTGTATTAGTTTGGAATTTTGAGTGAGATTTGATATTTTTTAAGATATTCATATTTTGGAGGAAATCTTTAGGTTTTTGAGGTGAGATTTTGAATGAGATTTCTTATAATGTTTTTTCTTTAGAAATCCAATGAAATCTTAAAAATTCTTAACAAATGCTAGTATGATTTAGTAAATTTTTTTTATAGTTTCAAATGAATACCCAACACTTTTAAATGTCTTAAAAAGTATAAATTAAATACATCTTAATTTCTAAAGTCTTAAAAAATCTCAAATGAATACACTTTTGTTAATTTATGTGAGACTGAGATTTCTTATCACTTCACTTGTTAAGATTTAGTTATACAAAATTTTAAAGTATCATTCAAAATTCCAAACAAATATAGCGTAAAAATTTTGAACATACAAGTTTGTACTAATTTATCAGTAAATAAGAATCTATATTTTTTAGTAATTTTGGCATAATATATATATATATATATATATATTTTTTTTTTTTTCTACTGAAAATATAAGAAACTAAAAGAAAATGCGTCAGCTAAAGGGTAAAAACTAATTACTAAAGAAACCAAAAGCAAATGCGTCAGCTAAAGGGTAAAAACTAAGACCATTTGTAGGGTTTAAGGACTTTGATGCATTTCGGTTGTTAGGGTTTATCACCCCTGTTCACATTTCCCTCAAAGTTCTTCATCTCATGTTATGGAAGAATACGACGACGATGATTTCAGCGACCTCTATGCTGACGTCGAGGTGCAGGCGATCTCGGCCATGAGTGCTCTGAATCGATTGATGGAAGTGCCGCCGGACGGTGACAGAATTCCCGACAAATACAATGCCACCGGAGGAGATGGCAGGGAAGATGATGTGTTCAGTGGAGCTGTAATAGCCACCAAAAACGGTGCGTTTTACAAGTGTGCCGACGAAGGTGAAGACGAGGGAAATGGTTTGACGAAATCGCCCATGGAGAATGGTGATTTTCATGGGGATAAGAGAAGCTTTGATGGCAGTTGTGGTAATACACGGAGTAATTTTGAGTTTCCTGCTGTAAATATGAGGAAATGCAATGGTTGGGACGAGGAAGAAGACCCGAATGGTTCGCGGAGAATGGTAGTGTTACTGTACCTCTTCTTTCCCCCCTTATTTTCTTGCGTGTTTGTTCGTATTCGACGTGACCTTGTGTGTGTTCATGGGTTTAGATTTGAAATAGGGGAAGCAAGAGAATTTTATAAGTCTTTCTTTACCGATTTCTTTAATTTTGTTGTTCTCATTTTAACATTTTTCTAGAATTAGAACTGGAAGAGAAGGTTTCTTGTTTATTGTACTAATTGCCCTTTTGTCTTGATTAAATGCAATTGTAGCAAGTTTGTTCCGGTTAATGAAATGAACAATTAATAGTGCGAAAAAAAAAACATATAAGCTCCATAAATTCTACCTCAAATCATTATATGATTAAATGAAGAATTGCATTGCAGAATTTGAAAAATGATCCGTTAGCTTTGAAGAAGAGGAGAGTTCTTGACGAAATGGCCCCTGGAGCATACAAAAATGGGGATGATAACATGGCCAGTGACGAAGATCTTTGTGTTGGAAGAGGAGGTGGCAAAATCGCATCCGAAAGGTATTTACGTAAACCATCTTCATTGTTGGCACTGTTATTATGTTGCGAAATGCTTTCTATTTTTTGCTGACCAGTTTTAATTTTTTCTTCTGGATATATATAATATATGGAGAAGATTAGTATGGATGATTTTTTTTTTTTCCCTTAGTCGATATAAATACAGCCGAAATCGGTAATGTTTCTTGTATTTATGTTAATATAATGCTTTTTTCTTCTTCTTTTCCTTTTTCCTTTTTACATTTACCTGAGCTTTTACTGTTACGATATATCTCAAGTTCAAATTTGGACTATCTTCACACCTGTTTTTTCTGGTGAGAGGATATAGTTGTTGTGACACTTTCAATATCATCATGCCGGCATTTTTAGGTATACGAGATAAGGAGTGCTTGCTTTCTTGTTATGGATAAAACGTTTTCATTATACTTGTTTACATAAAGTTGACTAGCTTTCTCGTGCAAATGACTTAATCAGGGACTGCAGTCATGCCTACGCACACGATACCCAGTGTGAAGTGTCTGAATGTAGTTCAGACGGCACACATGAGGATCCAGAAACTTCTAATGACACAAATAGAAGAACTTCGAGCAGCTTGTTTAGTAGTGAACCATCGGCAACGGAGGCAGAATCAAAATCGACCCAAAGCGAATGGAGTCAGGATGTCCAAAGTTCAATTCGTTCTCGTAGTCCGTGTGCTTCACTTAGCGACAACAGTTATACTGACAACAGCTGTAAGGAGTCGAAAAACCGTGTTTGTCCCGTGAAAGAGTCTAAAAGACAACATGCAAAACCAAGTATTGGAGCTGGTAGGGATTGTAAGAGACTCAGGAGTATTATCATGAAAGGTTCAGACGAGCAGAAAAACTTTGATGATAGGTCTGGTCAGAAGACCTATAACAGACGTATAAGCCGTGGAGAACAGGGGCCCAAGCTCAATCTTTGCTCTAAAGGGAAGGATATGTTTTACTGCTATCGCTCGGGGAGTTCTGTCAGTTACTCCAATGGATTTTACTCTCGTGGTCACTCCGTGTACTTGGAAAATGGAGGTCAGAACATTCATTCAAGTTTTAAATACGGAGCGGGCTGGCGTGATAGCCGTGACATGAGTGAAAGTCGCAATATTCCTAATAGAAGTTATAAGATGGAGTATGAAGCTTTGAAAGACGACTGGTATCATGATAAAAGAAGACATGTGCGTGGAAATATTGAGCATTCACAGATCGCAATGCCAAAGTACTCATCTGCAGCTGGTATGAGAGATAATCAATTCAGTAATAGATATTCCATGCACTTTGGAAGGAAGTCGGAAGGAAAATATGACAGTAGGTTCATTGAAGGAAAAAATGGAAGATATGTATCAAGTGGTGAAAGAAATAGAGATCAGCCAAGTCTTAGGTATGCCCGAGACATGGCAAATAATGGAAGAGGAAGGGAGATTTCTGAAAGAGGCAAGAGAAAACACGATTGTTCTCTTGATAGTTCATACAAGTCACGGTATATGAAGACAACTCTGGATAATGACAGGAGATATATCAAGCATAGGCCTCTGACCTTTTATTCTAATAAGGAACCTTGTGCTCCTGACAGGGAGAAACATCAGAGATTCGATGAGAGACAAAACCAGCTATTTACCAACAGTTACGCCATGAAAAGAAATATGAAGCCTCATGATGGTCGGGATAATAATTTTATGGAAAGGTACCATCAACGAAAAGTATTGCATTCGAACTTTAATGTGTATAACTCAAGGCATGTGGATGCCACCAAGTTGCACTCTGAGGGGCTATCATATCATTCTGGAAGATATTCATGGGATAACATGAGTGGTGATAAGCATGCATTTGGTGATGTTTCAGAACTTATTGATGAAAGAGAAGTGGGTAGACATAGAATAAATTTGATGGGTGATCATAGCAGTCAATTTGACGGATCACGTTCTGTGCAGATGCACCAGGGGTACCTGGATTCTGTTGACTTTCGTTTGGTCGCTGAGGGCAAAAAGGTAAAGTTGGCTGTATCCAGGTCTATATCCTGTATCATTTTATTGAATATAAAGAAAAGTGCCCCACCTCTGTTGGGGAATTATATTTCATTTTTATAGGGTGTCCTCTTTTGCTGATCTTTCATTTAATATTTTTGTATTTCGGTTTTGAACAATATGTGGTCTGCTATTTTTCTGATATTATAGTGCTGATGTTCTCATGATCCATGGTCTGAACAATACACAATTGTCATACGAGTACTAATTTTTTTTTTTTTTTTTTTTTTTT